GAAACTTTAATGGATATAACAACTTCCATCTCATAATATTACTAAATATCAGAATTACATTGGATTATTAAATGTTTTTTGATAATTTGAAATGTAAACGAGCGTCTCTTGTCTGAAAGTAAATTTTCAGTCCTGCAGAAGCTTCTTTCAACGTCTACTGATGTTTTAAGTGCGTACTTGAAAAAGACGGTCTCACTTACTGACAATTTTTCGTCAATTTGAAAAGATTTTGCTTCACCTGTTAATATTCTATAGATTTTCTTCATTGTTTGGAGCCAGTGTAATAATGAATATTGATGGAAAATTGGAAAAACTTTAAGAAATGCATTAAAATGCAAAATACGCCCCAAAATTTAAAGAAAAATGCCCTATAAATCTAAAAAAATGCTCTAAAAGACAAAAATTGTAAATGTCATCAAAATCCGGGCCTTAATAATTACTTCCTTTAAAATGGTAGTATAGTATGTAATAATACAACACCTAACCGAGTTTGAAAATTATAGCTTAATAATAATTAGCGATATGGGCCTTATATATATACAGTATATGAGCAATAATTTCTCTATTTTAACACCATTATATGCACTTAAAAAATTTGAACTTGCATATTATGCACTTTTTGGTCCCCCTAATTTGATTATAATTATTTCCTTTAGCACTGTAATATAGTATGTTATAATATAATACCTGGCTGAGTTTTAAAATTATAGGTTATTTTTAAGTGCATGAAATAAAATTACAGTCTTCATTCATTCAAAAGAAGAAAAAGATTACTACTTTAACGTGGCAAGTAATTTATAAATACCTCACTTAAAAAAATAAAAAAAACGCACTTAGAGTTTATAATCATTTAAACACTGTTACATTTCTCATTGAAAACTCAATTCAACTAATTGAAAAAAATTTATTAAATTTGATAAAAAGAATAAAATGGATTTAACAATAAATGTTTAGAAGAAAATGGTGCTGGTATCTCTTATTGTTTCAAACACTTTTGATCAGATATAAGAAGTTATTTTTAATATTATTTGGACCACCAAAAAATAAGTAAAAAAATAGTGTTTAAATTTTTTCACCTCTAATTAGTGAATTTATACTGTAATATTGATATTTTTCGAACCTGACTTTCTTAAATAAAAAAAAAAAATTAAAGCTAGTAAACATACTAAAAATTGTCTCGAATTCGCTTCCACTTTTAAAATGTTTTTCATGCATTTTCAGAATTAGGTCTTTAAGCAATACGTTTTCTTAATAAGTGTTGAAAGATTTTGATTGTAAGGCAAACAAACCATTCAATATAATTTTTTTTTTTAAAAATTTGAATTTTTAAAAATATGCATGTATAAATAGTTTGTTTTAATACTCAATATATTATCTGTTTTGCACTTAACTGAATAAATAACAAAAGGACAATTGTTTTGTAATTGTTTTTTATTAATCTCATACTTTAATTTTTTTTTCTTTCTCTGCATTTCATGAATTGCTGTAAAGGTTTCAAATCTTTATATTAAGTTTAAATTTTAAGATTAAATTAATTATAAAATTAAAAAATTTCTTCTCTGTTAAGATAGTTGGTTTCTTTAAGACATTTTATAATTTTTTTAAAATAAACAAAGCATATTCCTATTTATAAAAGTATTTTCTTAAAATATCTTTTAAAACATATTTTATATTTTTTAAAAACCTCTTTTTTTTTAGAATAGTATCATTCACCCACATTTAATAAATACTTTTATAACTAATGAAAAAAATAAGGTTCAAAATCGTCAGATAATTTGATTTTAGGAAAGCAAAAAAATCCGGGAATTGTCAGGGAATGATATAAATTTCTGCCAAAGCATAGAAAAATCTTTCCAAAACCCTGGAAAATAATCAGTTCTAAACAGTATGGTATAATAAGTAGCCAATGAGGTTCAAAGTAAATACGATAAACATCTATTTTTATAGTTCCATGTGAAAAATGTGCTACAACATGGTACAATTTTCTTAAATTAATTTAAATTAGAATATTACTTCAAACTTCTTAATAAGAATAATCTTATTTTCATTATAATAAACTTTTTTCTTAAAATAAAGCTTTTTGTATTTATTAATATTGATTCTTAATGAGAAATAAGATCTATAATGAGACTACTTTACTAATCCTATTTTCCCGTTTTTGTGCAAAATCTATTATTTATCTTTTTCTTAATTTATTATTTTGAGTTTCTATTTTTATATCATTGTTTATTCTAAAATATACCTGTTATGCCTTCACCTGTAGTGCCTGAAAGTGTATACATGACATATTTTCGATAAAAACTTTCATTGTTTAATGAATATATATATATACAGTGGAGCATCGTTTATACGATGATCACTTATACGACGTTTACATTTATACGACGTTTTAGTGTGGTCCCAAATCATTCCTATTCATTTTAATGTAAAAATATATCGTTTATACGACGCACAGAATCGGTTATACGTCGGTTTTTAGATTTTGTTCACGTTTATTTAATTTTTTATTTTTTCTTGTGTATTTTAAAAAAGGGCGGAATTTGCCAACATGAATGATACAGAAAAGGGTGCCAACAAGAATGCTTGGATGACGACCGTAATTTTTACTAGATGACTGAAAAAACTAGACAATGTTATGAAGAGGCAAAAACGAAAAATTTTGCTATTCATCGACCAATGTCCAGCGCACCCATCGATACTAATTATTTTGGAAAATGTAAAAGCTCTCTTTTTTCCTGCAAATTGCACAAGTGCGCTTCAGCCATTAGATTTGGCCGTGATTAGAAATCTAAAATTGCATCATAGAAAGCAGTAAGTTCAACTCGCTATTCAAAGCATTGTAGAGACTAATAGCAAGAAAATATAATTAAAGGTAACATACATTCAAATTGCTCACTGCAATTTTTCTTCTTTGGTTATTTGTTTGTTTTGCTTTGTCTAATTTAGAAATTTATGTAAATCAACACGTTAAACATTAAAATTAACTGAAAACAGAGTTAGTTTCAGTTTTAGAAGTAAAAATCGATTATACGACGTTATCGTTTATACGACGTTTTTCGGTGGTCCATTCGGCGTCGTATAAACGATGCTCCACTGTATATATATGTGGGTCTGGTTCATTTCACCGACAGACGTAAAAATAGTCATTTGAAAAAAAGAATTCTTACATGACACTTTTCTTACTTTGTCAACAATATACCAACTTTGAAATGATAATTTGTAAAATTAACTAATCTCACTGCTCGAACAATATTCCAGCACCAACGTATGATGGCGCACTGCCGGCAACAAGAACAAACATTAATTAACAAGTAAAAAGAGACCAAATCGGGACTACCAAATAAGCGAGTTCTTCCTAAATCTAGCAACCATGTCACCTTTTTTTTTTTTTAAACAATACATCTATTAATAACTAAAACAAATTTTCACTTCAAACTCACCAGAATTACTTAATATTATAATATCTTATGAAATTCTGCAGATTTGAGCTCAAAAATTGTATAGTTAGGTTCTTTAAATAAAAACAAGTATCTGTTTGATCTGTACAATTATCTGTATCGCAGAATAAGCAGTGGTAAGCAGCTGTATACTTTTTAACCGGATGTAGAGCACGTCAAGAGCTCAAGATGTTTACATTTGTATTGAAAACACCATCCATTCTTCTTTATTAACTCAGCCTTTTGTTGGTCACGACCTACTTTAGAATATTTTACCATTCTGTTCCTCCAATTGTTTACTTTTAGTGTTTTGAAATCCCCAATAATGCCCACCTTAGTTTGGGACTGTCTCTGAATCCATTCTCCATTTGTAGATTGTCCAATGAATTTGATGCCATTTACTTTAATGTGGTTTACAATATTAGCTTCTTTGTACAAGCAGTGTTGTAACGTACCATGATGGTCACTGATATTCCTTTAATAATGGCCATTGATATTCTGATATTGATCCAAAATCCTTTTCAAAACTTTCAGTGCCAGCTAGTTAATTTTTATGAGATTTAGATATTGCAGAGGTCTCTGATCAATGTGTGGACAAAGGTCAAGTGATGATTTTCGTTTTAATAATTTTGATAAGAATGTTGAAAATGTCATGGTCTATCGCCATAGCAAGTGTTAGGAAATCAAAATGTCCAAAATAAAGAACAAAAGCACAGAAACAAAATCAACAATTAAATTTATTACTCATAAAATTTTTCAACACAATGATCAAACTCTCATTCAATCCATTAAATCTATTAAAAGATAAACATTCCACATATCAAATTAGTAAATGAATTGTGGCAGTGATTAAATGAAGAAAATAATACAAATTCAATTAGAAATGAACTACACTGTCTTTAACAAGACACATACAATGTGAATAAATTAATACTTTAAACAGTGTTCCTTGAATCATGATTTAACCATCTAATTTAGAAAGCAAAAAAATACTGATTTAAATCAAATATTTTTTAGATAAATAATATTTTTAAACTGCAATTGAAAAAAAATAGTTAAAAAATTTTTAATTGGTTTTTATTGTCTTAAAACATGCTGCTGAGTTAGATTCAATTAGCAAAATTTCATAAGAAAAAAAAAACATGTGAAATTTATTTTTTGATTTTTAATATGTTAATGATACATTTCTATTACATTTTAATGAATCAATTTTTAAAGTAGCAATATAGTTTGAGATGTTTTTTAACGATATATTTTTAGTTAAATTTCAATTACGATTATAGAAGTTTACTGATTAAAAACTAAGATTTTTGAAGCATCTTTGAAAAATTTTTGATTTACATAAAAAAAAATTAAATAAATTGTTCAAATCGAAAAAAAAAGGACATTAAAGAAAGAGAAATTAAAATATACCCTTTAAAACAAATTTGTATTGTACATAAACATAAATAGGAATTCAGTGTCTTTCATAAAAACTTCTATGAAAAAACCCTCATATGGCAGATTAACACAAATGCTTAAGTGTGGTCCATAATGGACTGTTTCTATTAAAGGGTGACGTTTTTCTATACTATGATCTTAAAAATATTGTAATAAACCGATATTGAGTCCAAGACAATTTGATTGAAACAAAAGTTATTATTTAACCCTTCATAAGATCTTTGCAAACCCACCAACTTTATTAATATATTAAATGTGGATGGGAAGCTATATTCCCACTTCGGCCATCTGCTGATAACTTCAGAAAATGAAGGTCCATATTTACATAAATGTGGGTAACAGTAAGGATTAGCCAGAGGTTAGGAAAAAGAGACCAATAAAGGCGAAGTAGTTTTAAAAATGTATCAACTTTTTAACTGAATTATATTGTCCATGAAATTAAATTTACAAAATATAGTACAGAACCCGTTATCCGGAAATCAGAAAACCAAAAAACCGGAACGAAATTCGATAAATTTTCCCGCAATTTTAAAAAAGAAAAAAATTTTCCTCTTAAGATTTTAGGATTTTTCTTTCTTTTTTGAAAGATTTTTAACCTTACTATCATTTTGGAAATAATTATTAGTGTATTACTTCATCATTTTTTCTTCTTTTTAAGATTATTTCCAAATATTTATTTTTTTTAGTTGGGTTTAACAATAAAAAAAACGGCTTTTTGTAGCGATTCAGAAAACCGGAAGTATCAGTTATCCGGAATAGCGATGGTCCCGCTCGTTCCGGATAATCGGTTCCCTACTGTACTATTTTTTGGTATTGGTGCTTTTTTAACCGAAGAAAACATCGTGTGCTGTTTTATAAAAATGATAAAATGGAACTTTTCAAGGTGTAATAAATATACGATTGATCCTTAAGAGGACGCCATACCTTTGAAGGAAATTATCTTTCTCCTCCATTACTAATTTAAAAGAAAGAAAAAGTGAGTTCAGGCAAACCTAGAGTAAGTCATGAAGTTTCAATTGCTGAAAAAAGTACTTAAAAATATTAAAATACAAACAATTTATTAGAAGAGAACTTCTCTGTTGTGTAATCCTAAGTTATCATCTCATATTTTATTTTCATTTGTATATTTTAATATTTTCTTTTCAGTATTTGAAACTTCATGGCTTACTCTAGGTTTGTCTGAACTCACTTTTTCTGTACTTTAAATTTCAAATTAGTAATGAAGGAGAAAGAGAATTTGCGAGGAAAACTTTTTTCGTAGTAGGCAGGGCATCTGCTGCATTTTAGATTTTCAAATTTATGACTTTTCATGATTTTCCATGACTAATTCCAAGAATTTTTTTGTGACTTAACGAAGTTGCTATTTTCTCCAATAAAAACTCAACAATAAATTATAAAAAGCATTATAATAACATTATTCGAAATAGGCATAACCAAAACTATTATACTCTTTATCTTCATATTTAGAGATTTTAAACTTAAAAAACAGAGTAAGGAAAGAGTTGAAACAATAAAATAGCTGAAAAAAATACAAAAGCAAAAAAAAAAAAATTTCTGCAGAATTATATTCTAAAGATACTTTTCTTGTTCGTCAGAAAGGAAAGAAATACTCCCGATTTTTCTGTTCATTTCAGAATGAAAAAAATTCGCCAATAACTGGTTTGCTTCAACTAGAATTTCAAATTTATAAAATTAAAAAAAAAATAATAATAAAAATTCTTAAATCACAGAAGAGAGTTTAAAGGATAATTTGCTCTAGAAATGATATTTTTTCTTTCATTTTTTGAAAAAACACTATAATTTTTAAAGAACATGATAAAATCATTTTATATTCAAATAAAATATGACTGAGTGGTGATTTTGTTAGAAATTCAGATATTTGGAACAGGATGAAATTGGGGGGAGGGAGATTCCATTATAAAAATGATATTTTTCGGAGATCTAAATCCATGACTTTCCATGATTATTTTTAAAAAATAATAAAAATCATGACATTTAATGACAAATTTTGTTCAATACCGAAATTCATGACTTTCCATGATTTTTCATGACTTTCCAGGTGCGCGGATACCCTGAGCATGGCATCCTTTAAAGTTTGTCTCTCATTGCTAATGAGGCATCCTGTGTATTTGTAAAGAGAAATATTGTCTCATAAATTCAAGGAACACGGCTAAAGAAATTCAGTTAATGAATTAAAATAAGTGATTTTTTAAAGATACAAAAAAATACGCATGTCTTTAGTGAATGTACAAACGCAGTTGAAAATCTTGCTAGCATTAATTCCTGAAAAAGAAAACAGTTCATTACTTAACTATAAGCAATTCAATACATCATTTTAAATCGAATACTTTAAAATAGAAAATGAAAAGAAGTTCAAAAAAAGTTAGAGTCAAAAGAATAAATGACCATGATCACTCCTTTAAAAGGTTAAAGCCTTTCATTTTGGCTCAATTGCGGTAATAGCCATAAGCTTTATATCACATGTCAAAATCTCAGTTTTTTATTTTATATTTCATAACAGCCATTGAACAGCCGACCCAATTTTTGGGTTTACGACTACTAACGTTCAACTACGTAGCCTTGTCATTTTGAACCCAATCCAGAAGACAAGGTAACTCCTGGATGGGAGAAATTTGCCTTCGTGGAGGACTTTTTTGATGGAACTAACCCGCATTTGCTTTACATGGTAAGGTAGACCACAAGAACCTCCCATGATCCGTCTACCCCTGATAATATTTCATGTCAGCACTATGGTTGGTGCAAGCCAGATGCAGAATTCGTATCCACTGGGATTCTTACCCAGTTCACTTCATTAGAAGGCGAACGCTCTATTCCCTGAGCCATAGTGGCTCAAATTCACAGTTTAAGAAGCACATGTAACATAAGAAAACGTACATTCTCTTAATAAACGCTGCTTTAAAAATAAAAAAGATTTGAAACTTCAAGCCATCAGTTAGAACATTTTTAAATTTTATGGAATGGAAAATAGCGTAACAGCTTTTTGATTAAAACAGATCACATTTTACTAAAATAAGAAAACTGGTGCAAGTTATACCAGTTTCTAGAGATTTAAAGAATCCTGCCTTAAGATACAGGTACAATATGTAATGATGAGTGTTTTGGTCTTTAAGTTAGAGTTTTTTATTGTTATTTTTGCCACATCTCTGGAATCAATCAAAATCTGCACACAATTGTGAAACTCCTTCAGAGCTGATCTAATGAAAAATTAATTTTGCAAAACAATACATTCCTATTATGTACTTAAAGAATTTCTATACCGTGATAGCAGAGAAGTTGTACTAGTCTTAAATTATTAATCTTATCTTCTTATTAGTAATTTTTACTTTTCATTCGTATTCTTACTTTACTTGAGGAGAAAAATGAATCTTCAGTTCTGACAAGGTCAGAAGAAGCTCAAGGAAAAAATTAACAATTCAATAATAATCAGTATTTTTTTAAGCGTGTGTTTCAACTTCTACAAGCATTGACGCCGCTCTAAAAATATTTCAAGACTGATTTTATTCATACTTTTTTTTAAACCAATTATCATGAACTAGTTTAATATAGCTGAAACATCTTCCTTAAATATCCCATAGATTGCACATTGAGTGGTCACAATTTTTTAAAAGGCAAAAATAAGAAACAAAATTCTCTGTAGTTTCCCAGTTTCTAAAGAGAAACTCAAAATTCCCTGTAATCTCCCTATGATATTAGGTTATTTTTAAATTCCCTGTATTTACCAGGTTTACCTGTTTTCCCTGTGGAAAGGCAACACTGACAATACAGATTTCTAAGCATTTAATAAAATATTAACGAAGAAAAAAAACGTAAAATGGACTTTACTTAACGTAACCTTACCGTAAAATGAACTTTACTGAATGTAACCTTACCGTAAAATGAACCTTACTTACCATAAAATGAAATGTATGCATACCTTTTAATGACAGTAGCTGCATTTTGGATGACACCTGACACCATTTACCATGCATTTGCAGCCTCCACTGGTATCTCCTTTTCCCTATTTATTAGAATAAAAATACTTTACACAGTTTTCATTTAAAAATAAATACCACTCATAAATAAAAGATTTGCAGGTAGCAGAATTTACATAACAAATCTACAGCACTATTTTCATATCCCATAAACCATTGTCTGATATCTCAAGGCAATGATAATTACTGTAAAAATTCAGCTTAATCTAGCATACAAGCACCAAAACTCAAAAATATAAGGTCCTTAAAAATTATACACCAAAACTTCATATTGTGCAAATTTAATGTGAATGTTATACAATGATACAAGAAAAAAAATGGAATAAATCCCAAACCAAATAAAAGAAAAAAAACTCTTAAGATCTTGGAGATGTTCTCTCAAATCAGCTCTTAAATTTTTATTAGAAACAAGTTTAAAGATGTTTTTTTAAAAAAAGAGTCTGTCTCAACAATCTGTTTGATGACTTTTTAAAAATAAAAATTGAGATGAAAAAATAAATCTTCAGGTGATTTGTTGCATTTTAGCTGGTGTGATTAATTGTGCGTTACACCGATGCCTTCCTATTTAAGTTAAAAGTTTCCACCCACCAGTTAGTGTAAAAAATTATAATTAAAAATAGAAAATTTTATATTACACAATGACTACACCGTTTAGCATGCATTTGCAACTACCTTTACACTATTGAATATCAAATATAACATGATTTACATTTCCTACATCAAATACAATTGGCAAATATAGAATTTAGGGCAAAGGCGACAAGTTTCTTCCATAGGAGTAAAGAACTGAGGAGGAAAAAAACATTGAAGAAATAAAAACCACCTTATAAGAAATATCAAATATTATATGATTTACATTTTTACCACTACAAATAAAATTGGTAAATATAGAGTGTTGGGCAAAGATGACAAGTTTCTTCCATAGGGGTAAAGAACTGAGGAAAAGAAAACATTGGAGGAAACCCCCCCCCCAGGAAGAAATAAGATTCTTCCAATCCATGTGGAAAAATTAAAAGAAACTTTTTTTTTTCAAAAAAAAGAGATAACATCAAATATTCTTACTGATTAACTATTAAATTTTCTGACTTAATTATAAACAAATGAAAACTAAAAAGTATAAATTAGAAATGAATTCCCCAAGTTAAAATAACTAGTATTTTATGGAAAAGAGTACGGTGAAAAATAATTTTATAATGACATAACTTTTAAAATATTAATTTAAATTTTATTAATACAATTTAAAATCACACTTCACTTGCTTAACATAAACACTGCTAAAAATCACACACGTTTTAAATCAAATGCTGTTAAATATGAATACTGCCATACAATCAGAAAAAAAATGTAAGTGCTTCGTAAAAGTGGTTTGATAACTATTTCCTTTCTAATGATAATACTAATAACACAAAAATAAATTTATATGAAACTAATAAAACAAAATTCATTTTAGAAAAAAATAATTGCGATCACTAGTTCACCATACAAAAATGCTAAATACCTTAATTTTGAATTTTTTGTTGCTTACATTGATTTTTTAATTTCATGGCAGAATACTCATACCAACTCCTAAATAAAATGATAAGATTTAATATGAAAATTGCTACCTTAAAAAAACAACTTTGTGGCAGAATATTAAATTTAATTTGCTTAAATTTAAATTATTTTTATGGTATACTTATTTCAAAACAATCGTATTGGTTATTTTTAGTTTCCATAAGCTTCTTATTTTTCAGTTTCTATCAGTGTTTCGGAAGAAATAGGACGTACATCTCTGGTTTCAGGAAACAAAATTTAGAAATAAATTTATAAATAATTATAGGAAATTTGTGCTCTACTGGCAACTCCAGTGAGGAGGAAGATTTTAATGCAGAACAGTAAATTCATGGAGAAAATTCTTCACAGTTGAGAATGAAGTTTCAAATATAAAATATGTGGAAAGTAAAAACGGTATACAGACAACAATAAAGTAATGCGGAACTCATGAGATGCTAAAAAAATAATATTCTAAAAAATATGAATAAAGAATAATGAAAGGAACTGAAAAGAGAACTCCAATGCAAAATAAAAAAGAATGTTGGGTTTCACGTAAAATCTAGCAGTATTTTTAGATCACAAAGTACCAAGAAAAGGAGGGGTTTTTTTTAAAAAAAAAGGACTGCTTGATTTTTTAAAAAAAACGACAAAATAGTTTCTGGCAAATAAAAAAAGTAAAGTTATTTTTTAAAAAAAATTAAACTTATGAAAATTTAATCTAAATTTTTTCTTAATTTATGGTAGAGGAACTATTCAACTAATTAATTTAAATTGAAAAAAAATTATTCATTAAAAAAATTTTTTTTTTTTTAATTTGCTCAAGTGGTTCCAAAGATGTGAGAATATGCAAAAATGTAAAATTAACATGAAAATCAGATTTTACTTCGAATAAACTTTTAGAATCTGCACTTATTATTCAAAATACATAGCTGCAAACATGGATAAGAAAAATACCAGTAGATTTTACAAAATAATAAAAATTTAATGACAATTTTGCATAGTGTACGAAGTATTTTACACATAGTAAATTTTTACAGATTTTTATAGTCAACAAAACAGGAAAACTGTTATTTTTTCGGATTATCATTGACATTAAATAAATATATCTTAAATGGTATGCATTATGTTTACTCATAACTTTGAATAGTAATAGGCATTTCATTCATCAAAGATAGTTGAAATATTTTTTAATTAGTTAAAAAAGTGAGTTCTGAATAAAAAATAAACTGAACATTTTAGAACAATAAAAAAAAGTGAAACTGATTTCTATAAATAAAGCTTGCTTCATTATGTATTAGTAATACATAATCAAACAAGCAAAAATCTGAGCAAAAATTCTATTTCAATAGGGAGTTTTTTTTTGGAAAACTTACTCAATTTTAGGGAATTTTCAAAATGTACAAAAACCAAGAGAATTTTTATTAAAACAGTAGACCAGGAGAATTTGGTAAAATCCAATATTCTACTGGAAAATCCAGTAGAGTTGGCAGTTAAGAAAGAAGTAAGTCCTCAAATCATTAGATAAAAGGTTATTTCGGCTATTACATTTTTTCCTTGTGCACACAAGTAATGAAAAAAAAGACTGTTTAGTTGCAAGTTTTAAATAAACTTTTGCATAATTAATAAATATCAAAATTTTTAGGATGAATTATAAATAAAAAATATACTGACTCCTGGACCCCAGCGAGGACCTTTAGTCACCCAGCAAACTTCCGTGTGACACATTGAGCATTTCAACCAATCACAGCCCCATTTCTTCATGAGAATAACTTGGCACTGAGGACATTCCATCGCTTCTCCACTTTGCACCATATTCTAATTTAAATATAAAAATTATTCAATTATCATTTCAGTAAACTTGAATTTAAGCACATGGTAATAGAAAACCTTTTAGAAAGTTGGCTTAAAGCTATTTGAAAACTAAATGTATCAATTTTGAAAAAACTGCTTTAAAATTTAAAAAATACAAAAAAAATATTTCACTCTGCTTGGAATTAGATTCAGAAGTTAGCGCATTTTTAATATTGTCTAATAATTTATCAATGAGGTTAACTTAAAAAACCTCATTAATATCAGAGTTACAAACTTTGCATAATATTTTGAATACAGAATTAAAATGTTGCAAAAATAACTGCAAAATTACAATAAAAAAATCAGCTAAGAAATTTTTGATTTAATTTTAAAAAACTTTAAAAAAATTGGACAAATTTTAAAATATAATGAAAAAATAAAGTTTTCGTGGTTTTCTTCTCTATGTAACACAAATCCTCAGTGGTAAAAATTCATGGGTTAGAGTCCCCCAGCCATTAGGCTAACCGTGGGAGGTTTTTGTGGTTATCCATCCTGTGTAAGGTAAATCCTCAGTGGTAGACGGATCATGGGTTAGAGTCCCCTTGCTGTCAGGCTAACTGTGGCAGGTTTTCCTCTCCATGTAATGCAAATGCGGATTAGTTCCATCAAAAAGTCCTCCATGAAAGCAAATCTCTCCCCATAGGTGTTCCCTTGTCTTCAGGATTGGATTCAAAATTACAAGGCTACAGCGTTGAACGTTTGTAGTCGTAAACCCAAAAATTGAGTTGGCTGTTCAACTATTGCTATAAAATAAAAGTAATAATAAAATAAAAATCATAAATTTTCAATGAGAATGTAAAAATACCTGTAAATATTCTTTAGTTTTCTTTGCTTCCTCATTAGTATCACAGCTAAAAGCAACAAAGTCCTGATATTGCTTACAGTTTCTACCTTCATGTATGGCAGCACATGTCAGACAATTTGTCTTTTTGCAAACAGGACAAACAAATGTGTTGACATTGTCTTCAAAAAGGCACCAACCGGGGCAGTCGGGCGTTTTACAGTGAAAACTATCAAGGGCTTGACTTTCAGCCAGAGCCATACTTCTCTGAAGGTGTTTCTCATATATTTCTGGTGTGACCAACTAAAAATTAGTGCAATAAAAACTTTGTAAAATAATTAAAAACTAAACAAAAACTCTACAAAAAAAAGTTTGATAAAAAGTTTGGCTAACTCCAAACTCTTTAACTCTAATGAAAACTTCACAAGGTCTCAACGTTTCTGTATAAAGATTTTGAAAAAGCTTTAGAACAGCATCTATTTCGACTGTTTAAATTTAGACTAAATGTAGAGTCACAGAGAAGTTCATACTTTAAAACGTAAACTTAAGAATTTTTTTATGTAAAAAAAAATCTATTAAGTATAAGGCAATGCAAAAACTAGGATTACCTTTTCTGGTACACACTGTGAAAAAAGGAAGATAAAGAAATGTGAGGGTGTTTGATGAAAACACCAAGGTGCAAGATGTAGAAATGTATGCACGATGTATAAATGAATCTACTGTTATTTAGAGTTTAGATACTGGGAAAAGGTTCTTGTTTATAGAACCAAAACTATAGTACCATTTTCGTACTTTCATTTTGGCTTTATTCATGTTTCTTTACTCTACATGGCACAAAGGCAGGGTGCATAATATTATCAGAGCTTTTCACAGTTTTTTTTTTCTGTTTAATATTTCTGTTTAATATTTCTCTATAAATTTTTATATAAACAATGATTTTTTTCAAAAGTAAAGTTTGTATATTGTTCAAATTCTCTGATAATTTTTTCTTTAACAAAGAAAAAGAGTAATTTGCTTTTCCACAATTCTTGTATAAACTAGCATAGGTGTTAAAAATAATAGAAATCAAGACAAATTGAATAGAAATCAAGACAAATTGAAAAAGTAATAACTTTTAAAACTAAATTTAAGATCTTATAAGTTTAAGGAAATGGAACTACTAAATTTACAATTTTTTTGTGTTGTATTAAATACATCAGTAAATATTCTTAGTATTTTGGACAGTAAGTTGATATGTCATAAGAAAATATGTAAAAAGAAACTTTAAGAAGGAATATTTTATTAATTAAATGTTGATTTACTTTTCCATCTGGCTTGCAATTTATTAACCAAATTTTGTATTTTTAACTGAACAACAAGATTTAACATTAGTTTAACAACAATTTTGACGCATTTTTTTCCCTCATTAGACCAAAAATTTCCCCAGGGTCACACAATCGGACATATTCTGCACCTCTTGCATAATCTATGTCCAATCCCATTTCCGGACATTTATTTATAATATAATAACCCTACATATAATAACCCTATTTATTATATTTTTAATTGCCGATCACTGGTTTTGTGGTTACTGTAGTGGACTACGGAGTCAGTGGTTGGGGGTTTGAATCCCACCTGGCATGAATGTAACTTTCTCTCTCTCTCTCTGTGCTCAGTGTAATTGTGTGCATGTAACCTACCCTGTAAACGAGTTTGTGGTTGTATGACATCAGCGACGCTGTGGCCCAGCCACAATTGCCCACTGGGTAACGATAAGAGAAAAGCAATTCTGCCATTTCTGAGGCCAATGGTAAATAGACCCAAGTGCCCGCCATTAAAAAAAAAACATATTTTTAATTTGAAAATTGGTTTTTATTAATCCAGGGGTGATTGTGAGCCCAATTCAAAAATCCTGAAAATTTCTTGAGTAAAATCAATAATGACGAATTTCAAAAAATTCATGTCTTCATAAATTTAAATCACTGATATTTTAACAACATGAAATTCTAAATAAATTATAAGCAGCATAATTTAAATGAATAATGATGTATAAGTTTACTTTTATCTCTAATCACATTCATTATTCTACTAGAAAAAATATTTACATATGAAAGAGATGTCAACTATAAATTCTAGTTCTAATATTTGTAAATAATTTATACAACTTTTTTTAGACATAAATATGAGCGATGATTTCTTGAAACTTTTTCAACTTGGATTTCCAGAAATTTCTGGATCGCGGTTTGCGAGAAATCAGGAAATACGGATTTTCTCGGAGCACAATCATCATCATCTCTGTTAATCTAACTATTTCATGAAATTCCACAGTAATGCTCATTAAATAATAAATTTAAGAGAGTGATAAATAACATTTTACTGACACATTTAATTTCTCGTTCCTGAAGATGACTTTCACAGGAGTACTCATCATTTCGAAAGGGACATTTTATTTGAGCTGTATCTGAATACTGTATTGAACCAGCAAGGCATTCTCTATAAAAGATAGAAAAACAAATTTGTTTCACAATTGTATTTCTAATTTTTCTTATAAAAATTAGCAACACATATTTGCAAAATCTAAAAGAATAATATTAGCAAATAATGACTTTTTAATTATTATTACTTATTGTAAATTAATTTTTACAAATCTTCCAATAAAAAGCTGATAACCAATAAATACAGACGAATAACCAACCAACAAGTTTTATTAATGCTTATAATAAATAAGCGCAGGATTTCTAAATTCATGACCATAAATCGATAATGTAAATAATGTTTTTAACTGACTTTCCTTTTCATAGAAAGAATTATTTCCTAAAAAGGTTAAATTTTTTAACCATGTATATAACTGGTTTTTAAATTTAGAACAATCAAATTTTAATTAAAATAAAAGATGTTGGATCAAAAGTTCTTCAAATCAATTTTTAATTGTATTCATAAGAAAATGGGATATTCTAGACAGGGTGCGCAGCCAAACATTTTAACAAAAAATAAGCACCTTTTAAGTACTTCTTAAGCACTCAAAAAATATTTTTAAGCACTATATATACTAACAAAACACAAAATAATTTTCAATGACTTTACATGATCATGATAAAACAATTCATTTCTGACAAAGAACTCTTTTCTTGATTATATTAACTACCATAAAATGAGCGAGAAATTTTTCGATTCCATTTCAAATGAAGCCTGAAATTGAGAATATCTTGCAAAATACAGCAGAGTTGCACATAAGAGTGCAATATTTACAATGAACCCTAAGCCATCATGGCTCTTTACACAAATATAGTCAAATAAAAGATAACACTAAAAACATGGCAAATCTTAAAAAAAATTTTAAGCTGTGATATTAATTTTCTTAAATTTGTTTTAGACTCAGAACCTGTTAGAATTATTAAATTACAGAAAACTTAAATGAATTGCAAAATTAACCCTACATTTTAACACAAAAATAAAACTTCCTAAAATATTAAGCTTGTTCACACATCACCTTGTAAGCAAAATATAAACGGAGGAATACACCGGAAGTTCTCCAAATTTATTCCAGTTTTAAGAAACTTGTTATAGTTTACATTCAGTCAAAAGGAGGAATACACCGGATATTCTCTAAATTTCTTCCAGTTTAAAGAAGCTTGTTATAGTTTGCATTCAGTCAACCATCCATAGTCAGTAAGTCTAGCAGTCTAAATTATTTTTGTTAAAAAAGAAAACTCAGAACCAGTCTCAAGTTGTTTAAAGCAATGATTTTTTATTTATAGTTATACCAAAAAAATTTTTACAGCTGCCTGAATTTTCTCCGAACTTTGTACATGCGATCGGATAGATTCTGCACCCCAGTTAAAAACTACTGACATGAATCACATTAGTTTGCTATTAATGTTAAAAATGAGAGTTGTCATACTTGCAAAAGCTATGCAAACAGTCTTGAAGAATAACACCTTCACCATTTGCCACATTCATCATACAGATTGGGCATTCAAAGGACTCCACATTCGAAACCAGGTCGACATCATCTAATGCAACGAGTGTGCGGTAGTCATTCTTTTTCTCAAAATCTGCTTCCCAAGCTTTGTGAAATTCAGATTTCTAAAAATGATTACAATTAAATACCTTAAAAAAACTGTAAAAACTTTTAGTTATGTTATTTCATTTGTCTTCCTTTTTTAACAAAAAGAAAAAGGTGCTTTATTATTAGGATTCATTTTGCAAGAAACAATATAGTTTATCATGAAACCGCTGCCTTTTAAAATATCTGTTTTGAGATTTTACAAACCGGAATATCTACACTTACGAGAAAAAAGTTTGATTTTACAAATACACTAAAAGGTAAATTGATTGCTACATTTATATTTCACTTTTACTCAATCTACATTTTAACTGAACCTTAGCTACTTTTTTTTATAATTTACAGAAGGATTTTAAAATATTAGCATACTGTTTCAGCAATTCCGTTTATGTGCATCAAATAAACAAAAAATTTTTGTGAGAATGTAAAAAAAATAATTAGTTCAGACTCGTCCTCTGGATTGTTAAATTCTCGATCCCGAAAAAAGGCTTCAGCAGTTTTAAGTAAGCTCAATTAAACTTAAAAATATAGACAATAAAAAAATAATTCTGCTACTAAAAAAATATGAACAATAAGAACAGAATACGTAAGGATGAATAAAAAATAATAGAATGCTGCAATTGAAGAATATTAAGTCAAGTGTGCTAAGTGCAAAGTTTGAAAACAGTTTTAAAAAAAAGTCTCGTAAATTTAAATATCCTGGGTCCTGTAGTTCCCATAGCAGAATCGATGTAATTTTATACTTTCAATTTTTTTTGTGTGTGAAGTTTGTCAGCAGCATATTTGTTTAAACAAAATAGTCTGTTAGTAATACACTGGTTATCATAAATTAAGGAAAAATCACAAAAATAGCGATAACTCTTTCAAAAGTAAGCCAAACCGTGCAAAATTTGCATATGTTGTCCACTAAGAGTAGCTGAGTAAAATTGCAATATGCAAATTAGTGGCGCTGCACTCGGCTTACGTCATCTGCCTGGAGCATAAAAGTCCAAGTTTGAGAGAAAGCACACAAATTTTACTGTGATTGCGACATTGAAAATCTGAGATAGCCAATTCGTAATAATGACCTCTAGGCATCATTTGCCTGAAGAACTACGATGGAGAGC